CGCCCGAGGCGGCGGCGGCAAGGCGGGCGAGGCGGTGGCGGCGTCCGGTGCGGCGGGGCGGCGCGAGGCGGCTGATGGCGGCGGGGTGCGCCGGATTACGACGGCGGTGGCCGTAGGCGAGAAGGAAGAAGAGGGCGCGGGGCGGCGCCTCCTCTGGCCCGGTGGCGACGCGCGGGGGCCGGAGATGGGCTTCGGGCCCGTGGCGGAGGTTGGCGGCGCGTGCCACATGGCGCCCCGTGGTTGGGGACGGCGTGTCCGGCGGCGGACGGACACGTCCGGCGCGGAGAGATCCCTGTTTTTTTAGGGTTGCGGAGAGGGAGAAAGATCCGAAAATGGAGGGAGGTGTATATATAGGCATAAGTGGAGCTAGGAGAGTCCAAATGAGGTGCGGTTTTCGGCCACGCGATCGTGATCGAATGCTCTAGGACATGGAGCAGAGTTTGGTGGGTTTTGGGCCAAATTAGAGGGGTGTTGGGCTGCAACACACACGAGGCCTTTTCGGTCCCTCGGTTAACCGTTGGAGTACCAAACGAAGTCCAAATGGTACGAAACTTGACAGGCGGTCTACCGGTAGTAAACCAAGGCCGCTTGGCAAGTCTCGGTCCAATCCGGGAATATTTAATCCCCACACACGAAAGAAAGCTAGAAATGACCACCGGAGGAGAACGAAGCGCCGGAATGCAAAACGGACAACGGGGAAAATGCTCGAATGCATGAGATGAACACGTATGCAAATGCAATGCACATGATGACATGATATGAGATGCATGACAACGAAAAACAACACACGGAGACAAAAACCCGAACCCGAGGAAATAAAATAACATAACGCCGGAAACGGCAAGAGTTGGAGTACAAATAGGGAAAGTTACATCCGGGGTGTTACACACCTCCACTGAGCAAGCCGAGCAGAAATTCTCCCCTAACCCTAACCGGTCGAGCAACTCCAATCGACCCCTTGTCTCGTCTCTCCTTTCCCATGCCCGATCCCCTCTCACCCTCTCCTATCCCGCCTCTTACACGCGCACACACAACGCCACTAGGGAGGCCCTCGACCCCCTCGACGCCTCCCACCCACCAAAGCCACGACCTAGCTGGCCGGCGAGCCAACCTTCACCGGGCAGCTTCCCTCCGTCCCCTGTTCTCTACGCCACGGGCGGCGGCCAACTCCTGCAACGACTCACCGAGTGTCACG